CTTCTATGTTTATGCTTCTTCCATCGCATGAGTAATTTAAATCTACTCAGCAAGACCGCAACGATAAGATTATGGTTGACCATGCCATAAGAAGCAACACTTCAATCAATGTAAGACAAATAATTAGAAAGATAACCCTCTTGTGTTTGGAAAGAAGACACGTCGAATAAGACTCCAGTTCACTAATTCAGTGGACCAGTATAAATAGAATTATTATCATGCATTTTATTGGACGATAATAGTGTTAACGATGCCTTACTACAATCAAGATGGGTAAAAGAGGACAAAGAAAACTAAATCTTTACATAGTTAAAACTAGAGAAGTGCAAATAGATTTGTAGAAGTCTGAGGTATCTACCATAATGTCTTTTACACTTTCTACTTCATTGCACCGTAAACACCTTCATATCATGGAGGTCGGAGAACCTAGATTCTCTTTTATTGGCTCATTTCACCGTCCTTTGTCACGTTAGTGTTTCTTGATCATTACAGTCTATCACATTTGTTAAGTACAAAAGGCATGCAGAGCAAGGATCTGGTGGTAGAAGGGCTCTATGGTTTACTTAGGAGATTTATAACATGCATTGCTTTTTTTTCTTATGCACGATTTTTTTTCCATGGGGAAATGGTCAAGCAACCAGTTTGAAAAAGCAAAATTTCATCGATCTCCTACCGTAAAACAAATAAATACTAAAAAAAAATCTCCTAAGTTATAAAATAGGAAGGGCAATGATTTTTAGACAAGATATGGGTTATTGTAGTACTTTGTAATTTCTTGTTTTACCTATTAGCATGTGGGATGACGTTTTAACTATCAGCTTTAGAGAACGGTCAAGCAATCAATTTGGAAAAGCAAAGTAAGTTTGATCAATCTCCTACCGTCTAAACTTAACAAATTTAAATAATTTGTTTTAGATATATACTTCTTTGTCCCTCTTTAGATATATAGTAAGTTAACTAAGAGGGATTTCATGTGATGCAAAAAAAAACTATTAGCAAAAAACAAAGCAACGAGCTTTTGGTGACCATAGATGAAAGTAAATTATTTATATTGTATAAAAGTTGCGTACAAAAAAGGAACAAAAAGATGTGTAGAATGGGTTCGAACCCACGCCAACAACGCTAGGAACAGGCGGCTTTACCGCTGGGACAGCGTACAATTTAGGATAATGTAGTAACGTTTTGTTATATATCCTTTTTATCTAAGCGCCAGAGCGCAGCACCAGCGCCAGTCCTCCCGCCGCGCTTTAATTCAACGGGTCAAATTTGAAAATAGTTTTTTCAACCGTTCATATCTAGAAAATGTTTTTTTTAAAGGTTAAAATATAAAAAAAACTCGACCGGCACAACACTAGAGTGTTGACAGCCATCAAACTTCTGCATTATCTCTGACATGGGCAATTCAACCTGGTACCTTCCCAGACCTCCTTCTCGTAATCTTGCAGCAGTGCAGCACCCAGATATCAACACTCTGCAGGTCGCCATCATTACGGTTGAACATGCCCAGCGTACCATCCACCTGAAACAGACATGTATACACACCCCAGACCCATAATTTGCGTTGGGAACAATGGGGGGCATGCATCACCCGAAACAATTCGGCGGTGGTGTCGAACACGGTTATCATGCTGCGGCCACTCTGGTGCCGTACTGGGTCCCAATGCAGATAACCACGAAGCCGGACAGGCGGGCCGCGGAACGGCGGTATCTCTGATGACGGCGGTCCAATGCACCTCGGCAGACTGCCATCCAATGAGAAGGCATAGTAGGCACCTCGCGGGCCAGGAATTTGATCTTCGTGCATCAATTCAGCTTGACGGTCTAGCAGCAGCCGGTACTCTCCAGTGAGGTGGTGCGGGTAGAGCCCCAGGAAGTCGAAACCAAATATCAAATCAAGAGAAGCTTCCTCACGGGTGACAGGGTTGCAGATGGAGAAGTGCATGCAGTGGAGGGAGAGGATGAGGAGACCATCGCAGGACGCATGGACAATAAAGGTGTCGTCGCTGAGCCGGGCGACGGGGATGAGCTGCGCGGCTGGGTCGGCGGCCGGGCGATTGAGGGCGAGTATGTCTTGGTACCTGCTTCCTCCGTATTGGTAGCCGTTGATGAGGGGGAGGGTGGGTTGGTGGCGGTGGTGCGCAAGGAGGAAGGCGTGGGTGGTGAGGAGGCGGCGCCAGGCGCGGCAGATGGCGCGGCAGCGGAGGAGGGGCTTGGGGGGCAGACGGACTAGGATCTCCCAGATGATGATCTCCTCCTGAAGGCACGGGGTCGCGTCAGTTCTCGCGGCCTTCGCCAAGGTCGCCGGACGCGGCAGACTGGAGCTCATATGGAGGATTACTGGATCGAAATGGACGGATCTGTCCAGGGAACACGAGGAGTGGGGAATCAGTGGGGTCAATTGATTTCCCACCGTCTTTAAAACGTGGAGTCCAGAAAACAACATTAGTAAGCGCGGATTCCTTCAAACACTATTGATAAAGGAGGTTGCTATGAGGAAATACAAAACCTCCTGTTTTTAATTGTTTTATGTAATAGAGAACCAACTTTACCCAGCTCCAGCCGCATCGTCCTTATCTAGTGGTCCTTCTCCAACCGCGTCAACACCGTCCCCTCCACCCGTGCCCCCGCTATCCTCCTCCGGCCGAGGCGGAGCTGTTGGCGACGACCTGGCATACACCGCACTAGGCAACTACACCCTATTGCGTCGCGCTTGGCTTCGCTGCGCAGGGGCGGGGTTTGACAAGGATCTGTCGGGATGGGGCGAAGGAGGGTCGAGGTTGCACGGGAAGATGGGGAAGAGTGAGCGACATGGTGAAGCAAGCAGCAGTTGGCTTCCGCCAGCCTGAAGTTCTACTCAAATTGCTTCAGGACACGAGGATTGAATAGATTTGGTTAGTGGTGGGAAGGATTTAGGGGGTTGAGTAAAAATTTTAGGTTAAAGGGATTGGATACTCAATCTACCGAAACCGAAGAGGGTTGATTGGGTAAAAGCTAGTTTTTACTTAACGGGGACAACTTACCCACTCTACTGGGATGCTTTTAACGCATATACAAAGAGCCTCTATAAACTTCTCCTATATTAAATTATTAGTGTCAGAGCATGTACAAAAAAACCCCATAAACTTTCTATGTATCAATTATTGGTGTTTAGTAAAGAAAAACCATCTTAGGATCCCATAACCATCCATAACATTTTTATTTCCCAGAACTCCCTCATTTGTGGCTATGAACTGGGAAACAATTGAGGTCCCCGTCTCCTCTCTTTCTGATAAAATTATTGTTTTGCCGCCGCAAATGTTGATATAGATTAATTAAAAGTGTTGACCCCTTTTAGGGGATTGTTGGTGGAGGGAAGAAAATCGCCTGCAATAATTTTTTGGGTGCTCCCAAAACAAGGTTTTTAGGACCAATTTTATAAGTATAGGGATTTCTTGATGATGTTCTAACAATCCTACTTTTAGTTCAAAAAGCAACTTATTCGAAAAGTAAAATGAAAAAATAACTTTGACTTATTTCTATTTTGTAGTTTTTAGTTAATTAATTTATAGAACCCTGGTATTTATTACAACTTTTTCTTATTTTAAGTAAATATAAGTTTTAAATAAGTTGTGCCAAGCTGGCCTTAAGTGTGAAGTATAGCAATGGAGACCTATCCTCCAATCACATAACATTTGATTTTTTTAAAAAAATACAAAACATTTATATTTTTTCTAATATATTTATGTGCATGTCTCTAACTCTCTATTGATCTTGTTATAAGTCATAACACATAGGATAGTAAGACTTATTCACATCACACTTCCCATCCACATAAGAGGCAAGAACCATCAATTCTTCAGCTTCTTAGAAGAGATATATAAGTCGCGTCAGTCGTCAAATAAATTGTAAAGGAGCATGAAAGTGAATTTCTTTGAACAAAAGTAGGAGCGCCTCACTACAATTAAGATGGGTAAAAAGGGACAAGAAATTAGATAATAGCATTTTTGTGTCACACATAATATGGCTCTAGGCCCAAATCATCATCATCATCATCATCATGTTTTCCATGCTTCTTGATGCGTGTGATGTCCCTCAAGAACCAATAATTCTTAAGAACATTGACCGATTTTCAAGATTGATAAATCCATCATAATTCTCTCACTGTCCTTGCCATTGTTACTATATAGTGACAAGAATTTCAAATGTTAGGATACATAAAAAAATTATTTGCAAATATATTTAGATGTGCCTTCATTAATTTTGCTGTTGATATTATAACGCATATGTTGGCCTTCAAGCAACTAAGATGATAGGATATTCACACCGTGATGTAAGCCTTCAAGCAACTAAGGAGGTGTTTGGTTGCAGAGGGGTAATGCAAACGAAATGGGTCACAAATGACGCTGTAATCCCCATCAAAGTAAGAGAACACCTTTTTCGCAAAAAAAAAAGGTAAGAGAACACTGATTTTGTTTGGTTGTGTGATCTTCTCGTCATGGCGTTGGGCATTCAAAGATTAGCGTTCGCATGTCTAGCTAAGGTCATGCCTAGTCGTCGAAGACCTGCCATGGCATCCTCCGATGCGGCGCCGTCATAGGAGCTCCAAGATGATTGCGGCGGTACTCGTGCAGATTGTCCTATGATCTGTCGTTGTCGTGATCAGAGCGCAAAAATGATTGCAGCGGCGCTCGTCAACCTCCGATCCAGTGTCGTCGTCGGAGCCCAATGGGACTGCGGCGGCAGTCGTTCTCTACGCCACTGTTGTCGTCGAAGCCACAAGTCGGCACACCGGCGAGATGCATATGCGACGAGATAAGGGCAAGCGGAAGGAAGAAGACAACAAACAGCTGGACCAGTAATGATTTCGATACACCTCGATCTACCGTCGTAGCGAACAACCTAGATTCTGTAGTTTTCGATTGCATAGCTCTCTAAACAATCGCTTAGTAACGGTTTAGAATTGCACCGTAATCGTAATGCGTTACAAATGACCGAACCAAACAATACATAAGATGGTGAAAGGGGTCTTGGCCTAGTAGTGGTTAAGGCATCCGAGTAGCATTTTTAAGATCCTGGGTTCGACTCCCGGTGGGAGCGAATTTTCAAGGATTTAATGACATTTGTGCTTTCAGCGGTAGGCGATGTGGCCATCGATAGCGAGGCGCCAGTGGTAACTTCGTCAATCTGGAGGATTTGCCGCTAGTCTTCGAAGATGCTCATAGGGTAGGGTTTGCGTATGTGCGTTCATAGGGGTGAGTATGCGTGCGTTGTGAGTGTCTGAGTTGTACTGTGTAATCATAAAAAAAAAATACATAAGATGATAGCATATTCACTTGGCCTTTATTATGGTTAGTTTTGGGCATAGTATTTGTTAGAAAACCATTTCAGCTTTTTTTCTAAAAAAAACAAAACTCGCCGCGGAGAACTTGAAAACCCAAACGGCCCAAAAAAGGTTAGTTTGGTTGGCACCCTGACCCAGGCTGCCTGAGTCAGGCGCGAGCGACAGCCGCAGGCGTCCGAAATCGGACGCCTCAGGATTAGCCTGCGCGATTCTCACGCCGCCAACCAAACTAGCCCAAAGTGCCGCGGCTAAAGCTGTCTCCAACGGACACTCCATTCCTTGAGTAATGTCCAAAATAGATTGTAAAGTGTACAAAATCACTCTCCAACGGATGCTCCAAACCAGCAACGCATTCGGCGCCTCCGCTCCTCCGCTCCCCAGAAATATAGCGCGAAGAGGCGCGATCCAGCTCTTGACAAACACTCGAATCGTTTTTTTGCTTCGTCTTTCTCTCTCACCGCCGACGCGCCAGCTCCGCCTCCGGCTCCGGCCCCCGTGCCCGCCCCCGAGCTCCAGGCTAAGGCCTGCTCCAGCTCACTGCAGTGGACGGCCGCCGCCCCACTGTCGTCGTCCCCAATGACCCCGACCTCATCGACATCCTCGCCACCAACGGCGTCGACATCTCCGTCTCCGAGGGCGCTGCGGCGCGGGCGGGTGAGGCTCGGCCGGTGAGGCGGCCTCATCGGGGAGTACCAACGGCCTGTGCGGGGGGCTCGACGGCGCGGGCTTCGCGGCCGCGCCTGTCTCGCCGCTCTTGTACGCGCGTAGGACCCCGGGCATCTGGAACTCGAGCTCGGAGTCGGAATCCATCGCGGAAGGATGGCGTCACGAGCTCACGGTGGCCGCGCCCCTACCCCTCCCCTTCTCGCGGTGGCGGCGCCCCTCCTCCTCCCCTTCTCCAGAACGGCGTCCTCCATCCACGCATGCTCGCCCGCCGCGCCGAGGCAGGAGACGGCGAGTGGGTAGAGGGCTCGCGCAGCGGAGGGGTGGCGTCACGAGCCTCAGCCTGGCGGCGGTGGAGGCCACGCTCACGCCGCGCCGACGACCAGCTCGCCATCCAGTTCTTCCTTCTCGGACGCTGCGGCAGGATTGAGATTGGGATTTTGGTCATCCGTTGGAGATGGGTTATTTTGCGTCGATGGAGAAGGAAGGACTCAAGACCAATTTGGTGTTTTGCGTCCTTCCTTCCGTTGGAGACAGTCTAACCCCTTGCCGGTCGGTGGCTCAAGAACCAATGTCCGGCCCGCCCACAGGTTCCGACTCGTGGTCACGCCCGCGCCCGTCCCGCCGCCGTGCACTGGCTGGCTGGTCGACTCGACTCCCGTCCGCCGCGCTTAAAGAGAGAGCCGTGGAATCCTTGTACTCCTCTCCCTCTCTCGTGCCCCGACGGTACTCACAGCAGCGTAGCGAGTAGCGCCTCTCTGTCGGCGGTGGCGAGGAGACGAGAAGAGAGGGATTTGCGGCGGAGGAGATGGTGATTCTTGTGGTGGCGACGGCGTCGGACCCGGCATCCATCGGCCCCGCCTCCGCCTTCCTCGCCATGCCCGGATGGTCCCCCGGCCCGCCCATCGCCGTAAGCAATCACGCCACGCCGCACCCCTTCAATCTGTTCCTCGGGCATCCTTCTATTCCATCCATGCTGTAGAGCGCTGCATCCGAACCCTAAGATTAACCGTGCTTCACTCCGTGCGGATTGGTAGTAGCAACGAGCTACCTGTATATATATGTCTCCGGTTGGTGGGATGCAGAGGAGACATGCTAGATGTCGGTTTAGGCAACTTCATGTATCTAATTTTGGATGTACGCACGAATGCATGTTGTACCAATACTGGTTCTTTAGGAGCACTAGTATATAGCTGGTGAGGTAAAATTGTCCTACTCCTGACACGACCAAGGCACCCACAATGCACAATGGCGGAACTAAAGGTTCTGTTTCATTGAGATACCCGGTCCTAGGAAGGGTGAGGCAATTACGGACTCTACCATCAGTTTACCGAGATTTCTTGACTTCCCTATTTCTAGTATTTTTGTGGGGATCAAGCATATTGATCTCAGATTACAACCATATGTATGTTATAAGAAATCGCATCTCATTGGTCATCCCAAGAACTCAGATCTTGTAACAGATACTATTGTTTTTTACTCTGTTTTTGATTGAGTTAAATGCATCCAAACGGTGTTCATTTGTCCCTTTGAAATTTATTTAATAGTGTCGCAAACTATCCTTGTACTCCAGTGATATCTTCTGATTTTTGTTTTGTAGGAGGGGATGGAGAGCTTTATTAATGGCGATGTTCGGTTATTAAAGCACGAGCGAAGCATTATTGCTGAGGATCATCTTGACCTCAGGTGGCAGGAAGCCACTGGAGAGGTTGTTTCGGAGGTCATATTCCTCAGCAAACACACCGCAGTCTCCAACCGCCCTGCACTCACTGTCCATCCCATTGGTACGTTTATCACTCGTATGCCTCTCTCCTAGTTTGTCACTGTCTTTTCTTGATTTATCATATATATATATGTGCTTAACAAAATTGAAAGCTAAGCTTAAGCTGGTTATAGTGTGAAGGCAACTAGCATTCTAGCAACACATTCAAGTTTTAAAAGAGATGCATGCACATCTGTTAATTTTAACGGTTCTTATTTCTTCAAACATCCATCTGTGTGCTACTATTATCTAAAAAAATTGCGTGCTACTGGACATAGTGTCCTTACTGTTAACTGCTCAACTGAAGGCGTACCACATCTGAGGGAGGATGAAAGCCCACCTCAAGGAGGGATTCCTGGATGGGCAGCAATGCCAAACCCACGAATTGGCCCATGGCTTCGGTTGATGCGAAAGGTTGCTGCAGACCAAGGTCTTGTTCCAGAGTTTGAGGTACCTTTCTCTACTAAAGTAATATGTATGTTTTCTTTGACACATGATTCTGATAATGATTGCTTGTGAAGATTACGCTTGAGGCTACTCACCATGGGCCGGTTACCAACACGCCAACCATGTTTGTTGAGATAGGTACAAAGCTTATATCAGTACTTCAATTTTTCTTACTTCTGGTTTGTCATCATTCTTTACTGCGAAAAGTTTGAAAATTATCCTACAACTTAAACATGTTAAGGTTCCAGTCCATCTTGCATGTTTTTTTTAACAGTTTAAGAAACAGGTCTACTTAGAAGACTTCTTGGACTTGTAGCATTATCTCTTTCTTTGCCTCCTACATGCCATCATGCTCAACTCCTATATGCGTGCTTTCGTTTACTGAACACATGATTCCTTCAACGTTGCAAGTTTAGTTATGGATCATAATTAGAAAGGATTTTTGAACCTTGTTCTTAATTAGATATGGGTAATATAAAGCAGTAACTGTCATATTCATGTCTAGGTCTCACATGTTGGTGATAGTTATTTTCAATTGCTTTGATGTTAGTGCAAACCATGCAACTAAATGTAGACAAGTAAACACCCTGTTTAGATTAGTTTCAGCTTCTTAAAAGCTGGTTTTTAGGTGTAGTTTCTAAAAGCTGGTTTCTAAAAAAAAGCTAGGTGGGGTTGTTTGGATCCCTGGTTTCTAAAAGATAGTTTCTAGCTCTTTGGTGTTAATGACTAGCTTGCCATTAAAAACTGATTTTAGCTGAGTTGAACTAGCTTCTTAGTTTCTTAAAACCTGGACAGCTAGCTATTAAAAACTGGACCAAAAGCGGCCCTGTTTGGATCCCCTCCAGCTTTTAAAAGCTTGTTTCTAAGAAACTGTTGGGGAGACGAAGCCCTCAACACAGAACTTGCGTAGTCACAGCTGTCGAAGCCCTCTTTCTGCCCCCGGTGCTGGGCGAAGGGTCTTGAGATTGCGCAGAAATCAAGTTTAGTGGCCCCCAAAACCGTTACCATTACAGAGATCCTCTCCCCTATTTATAGAGGAAGAAGAAGTCATATTTACACAAATGCCATTAATCAACTCCGTTACGTCTCTCTACTGTTTGCTTATCACCACCCTTCGCGTGCTAGCCGGAACCCTTCTCTGCCCTTGAAGAAGGCTTCGTGTCTATTGACATGCTTCGGCGTTATCTCCAACAGAAACTAGAGGGAACCAAACAGGGCCTAAGTAATCTTGCATGACACATTTTAACTGAGAAAGAAAAATACTCAACTGCTCAAAAAATGCCGCTTAAAACATGGCCAGGCTCAGTGGCGGACCCACGGGGTATGCCGCGTAGGCCTCGGCATACCCCAAAATCCGGTGGTTCAGCTCCAATGGAGCACTGTTTACTACTGTTTGAACACTATTTGGCACTGTTTTGCTACTGTTTAGACACTGTTTTGCTACTGTGCATACCTTTTCTCGCTCACCTGGGTCCGCCACTGGCCAGGCTGAAGAAGATGCGAGCAAGCATGCATTTCTAATATCGGTCTGAGTCAAACTAACTTAAATTTGACCAAGCTAAAACAACTGCTCAAAAAGTGCTGCTTAAAACATGGCAATCTAAACTAGATGCGTGCTACACGCATCTTCTGTGCATGTTTCTCCTATTTTGTAGTAGCAATGGGTTCATGCGAATTTAATAATATCATGATATAGCCCAGCAACCCACGCTGCAACTGAACTAACAGGCATACAAAATGTCAGGAAGTACGGAAGAATACTGGGTAAGACAAGATGCTGCACAGGCAGTTGCTCTAGTGAGTCCTCTCTCACTCCCTTTCCCCTCTTAGCCAAATATTGTTTTTACCCTTTCATTTAAACCTTTAACCTGTTCCCTTGGTGAA